TTTTCGGGCCGGGGGCCGAACCTCCTACGAGGTCCCCGCGCCTAGGGGGCGCGCGGGGTATGTGAGACTCAACGATCTGCAGGTGTTGAGAGCAGATCGCGGGCCCAAGGATTTTAGGGCCCACCCACTAAACGACTCCCCTGCACTCTTACACCCGACGTCCGATCTCCGTCCGGGGTCAGAACCCGTTCAGAGTAGGGGGGTTCCCGCGGTCAACACTACAACCAGACACGCGGCGCCACCCCGAGGACGCCCGACCGACGGGTCGTCGAGGCGATAGTCGACGACCAACGACGTCGGTCTCCGCGGTACGGCGGCCCTACCAGGCCGCCCGGGCGGTGCCGCTGGTGTTCCGGGATACCCCGCTGGGCCAGAACCAGCCTGCCGGGTCGGAACGCGATACACCGCCGACCGGGTTGCTCTTCAACAGTATGTTCGGCGACGACAGCGACGACGAAAATGCGGACCGCATCGCAGTCCGCAGCCGCCGACGCGCCGTCCCGTCCTCCTGGTGCCAGCGCGCTAGAGTGACGGTAGCGTGCGGCGCAGCCTCAACCCCCTTAGGTCGCCCCGTGACCATCAAAACAAATATTACTTGCCTCTAGTTTTACTGGTAGCTGGGATGAGTAGTTTGCAGTGTGACAGCCGTAATGATTGAAGCCCTGCGACTATGGAGGGGCAAAGCTTGTCTTGCTGTTTTGTACCCTATGTTTATGGTTTGAGAGGAGCTCTCTGTGGATGGCGGTGGCTTGGCGTTCTCCTGGCATTGAAGATGCCTTGGGGGACGACGACCACTAACCATCAGATAGGTCGTGCGCTCGTCTCTAACAAACGTACGGCTCAACGGATAATATGTACGCTCATTAGGTTGGTCACTACGACTACTATTCAAAAATTATGTTTATTTTGTTTTATTTTTCAGTTGTTCTTGAAGAAACATAATTCCATATAATATTACATTACTTTTAGTAGCTCACGACACAGTAAGATGCAGCACATAATTTCGCAACGAGCGCCGCGGCAAGTTTTACCGCAATCCTTTCACTAAAACGTTCGTCTTCAGATCATTGTTGTGCAACATCTATAATGACACCTTTTTATAGTTACGCTATTTCTTTCCGGTACACATCGACACATTCTTGCAGTTATATGGTTTCATTTCGTAATATTTGATGAAAAGCCTCCGTTGATTTTTGGTGTTTCACAAGCGCTTATCTAAGTTATTGTTATATATCTTTATGAATTAAAATTTGAATACCTCATTTTGTCGTAAATCAGGCAATGGGTCCGATTTGAAAGGTGGGATAGTGCAGTCAGAATTGAAATCTCGATCCCAAACTTGATTTGAGCCCGTGGACCGCGTGATGGGTTACCGGAACCCGTAGTCAATACCACATGTATGCCACCACCTTCAGTCAAAAAAGTTGCCCCATCTTTCAAATCGAAATGCATTTTCTAGTTTTTAACAGTGGAGGTGTCACCTATCCATGCGTGCTCTGTGAAGCCTTAACCTGGAAGAGAAACATGTGTGGCGGGTAGCCATCATACAACGCAAGATAATTGACAGATGCCTGAATCTCGCTTACGACATTTTCAAGATAAGGCGCATATAATAATATACAAGTTCCGAACAACAACATTTGGAACGTCGGTCTACCGAGCAATATCACCCGCTCATGTATTAGGTCGCCGACGATAAGTAGCCAGTATCGTTCATGGACATCAGCAATAGCAGAGGCATAGACAAGCCTGCCTAATGCTAAAAGTATGAGGCCACCGAATTAAACATTGCAGCAATCTCTCACATAGTTATATTAATTCTTATTATCAAATCAACATCGTTATCCCAATGTAATAAAACCATTATTACATCCTCGCACTGCGCTAAAACATACACCTCGAACTCAATCTCGTCGTTGCGATCAACTGCAAATAACAGCATTGGCACCCGGACGGAAACAAGCAATCACGAAACGAACTGTGCTCACATATGAACCGTAACTCCAAACTCCCACGAGTCTGGGAAAACTGAACAATGGAATCCGACCTCCAAAGTGTTACACGTTCACAAGATACCACATCGGGTGTTTTGAGAATCTGAAATGTTCCTGCAATTCGTGTTGTAAGAACGGCGACGAACGTAATTGCTTGTGAGAGAATTGTTGTTCTTGTGAGTAAAATTTATCGGGACGAATGGAAATACGAAATGAAGCGACAGTGGGACGATAGTCAGTCAGTCAAGCGAAGCAATAATACGATCCGGTTTGAGACTTGGACTTCATACTTTTAGACAAGTAGCAAATACATCAGTCAATCAGTCTACAGACGTCCACTGCTGATCATAGGCCTATCAAGCTGTGACATATTGACTGGTGATATTTTTTTTTTTATTGCTTAGGTTGGTGGACGAGCTCACAGCCCACCTGATGTTAAGTGGTTACTGGAGCCCATAGACTTCAACAACGTAAATGCGCCACCCACCTTGGGATATAAGTTCTATGGTCTCAGTATAGTTACAACGGCTGCCCCACCCTTCAAACCGAAACGCATTACTGCTTCACGGCAGAAATAGGCGGGGTGGTGGTGGTACCTACCCGTGCGGACTCACAAGAGGTCCTACCACCAGTAAAAAAAATCTACACAATTCGCCACCCGACTTGAGACATTTCTTTTCATTATATGAAATCGAAACACCACCGATTACTTCGCACCAGAAACAGGCAGCTTTTAATATAGCAAATTTCCTTTGCTCCGTAAAAAGTTTCATTAACATTAATATTATATTAACTTTAAATATCAAACCGAATGACACCTTGTCATTTACAATTACCACGTTTGTTGTCTACGTTTACCTAACATTTTTGTTTGTAGTTTATCAAACAATACAGCTGTGTCAACGTTACTAAATTCTTGTAAATATGACGACCGAAGACCCCAGCAAAACATGCCCATATATTTGTCCAACAACGATAAAACCAGCAGGAGAGACTATATCTTATCTGGAAGCTGGAATGTCGCGAGGTCCAGAAAACCCACACGCTTCTCCTTACGTCCCTGGCTTGATACAACCTCCTGAGAAAAAGATTTATCCTCCAGGAGCACCGCCAAGGTATCTACCGCAGCCTACAGACTCTACCAGTGGGGATATTCTAGGCATGGGCCCAATTGGACCTTGGGCTCCAGGACACATCGACTGGACGCCACACGCGGGAACAACAGGTGTTCGACCTGTGGTAGACAAATACTCTATTACTAGATATTCGACAGGCGAGTGGAGGAAGAACAATGAATATGTTTTAACTCCAAGAGCGACGGATAAAGCTAGAAACTGGGAAACGACCACAAAAAAAGATTTAGCAAATGCTTTCTCTGGAATGGATAACAAATTGGCAGACGTCAATAACAAATTAGAAAAACGAGTTAAAGATTTGAGCCATTGGAAGAGAGAAGTGGAAAAAGCAGTTCTGGCTATTACTGATGAAATAAACGTGTTAGATCAGGATAGAGGTAGGCTTAAAGGTGCTTGTAGGATCTTGATGCTTCCTGAAGCTATTTCTAGAGAATGCCTAGAGCTTAGGACCAATAGATATGAACCAGATTTAGTAAGAGATGATGCTGAACAAGAGTTAATCAAAGAAGTGGCTATAGTTGGAGAAATAAGGCGAGTGTTCATGGACACTTTAGCCAAAGTTGAGGAACAAATGTCCATGAACAAAGCGGCTAAAGCAAGCATTGAATTTGATTGGAGCGACAAAATGGTTTCCTTGAAATTGGATACGCAGAATTTGAAATTGTCACCAGATTCGAATTTATTGTTATGGCACCCTGGTGTCGCCCGGTGGCCAGAAAACGCCACAACCTTAGAATATTGGGAGCATTTCTGTAGTGAAAGCATCAGAAACTGCGAGGAAGTTCGACAGAAATCTGAAAATTTACGAGGTGATCTCATGACTGCGATCGTCAAAGGCTCTCAAGACATGAAGATTCAAGCCGAGAGAACCAATGCAGCACTCGCCGAAACTGTGTCTGCTACCGAAGAATTGTGCGAGAAGTTAGAAGAAACTTTAAAAATCAACTTACAGCAACTTGCACATATAGAGAATTTGATAGATGAACTTAAAGATTCTTTAAGGAAGGTAGACGAAAGAAATAAATTGGTGATGACGAGACTACATGCTAGGAACTATGACCGTCCTAATGTCGAAAACTGCAGAGACGAGGCCCAATATGCTCTGATGGCTGAAGCTAAGTTTGTAAGAGAAACATGCGAGTCTCTATCTGGGAAACTGCGAGAGGCCGAGATCATTAGATCGGATTTGATGAAGTACAGGGGCGAATTGGAAAAGCAGATCGCTTGTAAAAGGAAAAGTTTGAATATTGATCTAGACAGGTGCGCCAGAGTTAGAGCTCACATGCCCACTCCTGAAGAATTTGCAGCTGGATGACTTATTATTAAAATTGGAAAATTTTGTGGTTTAATGTTGTATTCACAATTGATTTTTATTAAACGTTCGAAATGGTCCATGCTGTGTATTGCTCGTTCGACCTCGAGAAATCTGCACGAGGTCCGAACACGAATGACTATCGAAAAAGTATTCGTATCGTGAAAAAATGTATAGAATTTAAACAACGCCCGCACCGTTTTTTACTGGTGGTAGGACCTCTTGTGAGTCCGCACGGGTAGGTACCACCACCCTGCCTATTTATGCCGTGAAGCATTAATGCGTTTCGGTTTGAAGGGTAGGGCAGCCGTCGTAACTATACTGAGATCTTAGAACTTATATCTCAAGGTGGGTGGCGCATTTGCGTGATGTCTATGGACTCCAATAACCACTTAACACCAGGTGGGCTGTGAGCTCGTACCATCCATCTAAGCAATAAATAAATAAAAAATATCAACCCGACCGTCCGTAAAAAGAATAAATTTCAGCAGCGCGAATGAATTTATTTACTTTCATTTTACAATTGATTCGTCACATTCTCGAAACTCGAAACTTATACTCATGATCGAGAGCACGAAAATTGTTTTCACATACGTATAGCTTAGTGTGAGTTTTTTAACGTTCTGGATATCGCAAAAGCTATCTTGGAGTTGGAACGTTTGTCTACGTTTCGCGGGGCGCTGTTCCAATTGCATACAAATTTGAGTTAACTTTTACGCTATCGAGAACGTTAAAAAACTCGCACTAAGCACAACGATAAAAATCTCGAAGGCTGGCTATCGAGTACTACCGTATAATGTAATGATCCGTTATCGTATCGAGAACTCGATACATTTACATTACGAATTCGATAGATTTCCGTGTTTGACCTACAAGAGGCCTATAAAGCGGCACGACACGAGAACCCTCTCAACGTGGCCGCCGGTAACTACATTCCCGATCCTTCGGACAGAATGGAAAGCAGTCGACGTCGTCCCAAACGTCGTTTCGGATCCACCCGATCCACTAACGGTGCTTTTAGGTACCTCAAGCACCGGTCATCGTTCTCGTCGAACCCGTTGCTTGCGACGAAGGGCTCGACGAGTAAATTAACCCTCAGACACAGTCCACTGAGTTTCTCGTCGGATCTTCTCAGTGAGTCGCGTTTCCGATCCGGTGGTAGATTCTGCGAAGCACTGCTCTTGCTAGGGTTCGTGTTAGCAACGTCAGGTTTGAGCCCTGTGAGCTCACCTACTAGTTAAGATTACGCTGAAATAGCCTCCCAAGGCTCTTAGCTAGGCAGGAACAAAAAAAAGGAGGCCTAATGAAGTCAAATGTGACTCTAAAAGCAACAATTTCATTTCCAGCGTTTAATTTTCTCTTTGGAATTAGCGTAATACGATTGATACTCAACCTCATGTCTCAAGCTGAGTAGCAGTATGAACATTGCTTAGATTTTAATGAGATAATTCTTAACAAAAAAAAAGAACACAATATTCCTAACCTAAAAGTACATGTTATTATCCGCAACACGCTTCGTCAGATTACAGAAATAGAGTTATCAGCAACATGCTTCGTCAAAAAGTACAATACATACTTTCAGCTGCAAGCGTCGTCATAAGTAAAATATATTGTTTAGATTGTGTTATAAAGACAAGAAGGAGATCCTTCCAAGACTTTCAGGAACACTTATAGACATTAATATGAAACGACACAGTAATATAAATATAATAAAAATCTTTGCAACCCACAAAATGCGGAAATCCAAATGATAATTCGCACATCGCAACTGTATCACGTACGAGTATGTAATGTGATTTGTAATTGCGAAATTATTCAATTACATACGATGTGATTCTGTGAATGACACCTTTCACTACATGCCGGGGAAATAATTGCAAATGTGCTTTTATAGTTACGTGCGTAGTAGCTTACATACATACATATGTGTAACTAAGTAGTACACGAGCCAAAGGGAACTGAAGGTTTGATCGCTAAACGAGCTCACGGGCCACTGGTGCGAAGGAGTTATGGAGCCATAGACATAAACAGTCTGAATGCCGACACCCTCCTTAGAGGCCGAGGCTAGGGAGAGAGCCTTGAGAGGCTATTTCAGCGTAACCTTAACTAGTAGGTGGGCTCACGGGGCTCAAACCGGAATGTTGCTAACACTGACCCTAGCAAGAGCAGTGCTTCGCAGAATCTACTACCGGATCGGAAACGCGACCCACTGAGAAGATCCGACGAGAAACTCAGTGAGCTGTGTCTGTGGGTTAATTTTCTCGTCATACAGACACAGACTCTGAATATTGTCTGCATAGCCGTGCTTATGTGAGTTCGCTAGTGGACTTCTATAATAAATAAATAAAAAGAAATTATTTATCTACTCATCTTCCATATAGGTATTTTCGGTGTAACCATACGTATGACACGTAGGATTTATAAATTGGCAGTATATGTATAATATGCATATATACTAGCTTTTGCTCGCGACTCCGTCCGCGTGGAATAGTTACTTTGGCTAACGCTAAATTTTACCCCCCACTTCATTTACGTAGAAAGTGAAAATATTTTTGAATTGTAGAATGTTAAGGAGCTATTTAAACCCTTATTTTGAAACATTCTTTATTGGTGCTCCACTTGTATTGGTCTTACCGTGATGTTATATAGCATATAGCCTTTCTCGATAAATGGGCTGTCTAACACTGAAAGAATTATTAAAATAGGACCAGTCGTTTCTGAGATTAGCGCGCTCAAACAAACAAACTCTTCAACTTTATAATCTTAGTATGGATTTTATTTTCCATAAAACATTGCATCTACCACAGCATTCTTTATTGTTGTCACTTTGGTTGAGTGATAGAGAAATTAAGCATTAAATCCGTAAAGATACCCTTTGCGCATAAAGTTTAAAAAAAGTTATCAGCAAAATTACATTGTTACCACTGGCAACACTGTCCGGTATTACGAAGTTTTCAACATAATTATAGTGAAACTGAACGCAAATCAAGCGTCCCATTGAAAACTTTCCCTTCTGATAGTTACTAAGGTCCAGTGCGTCATACCAATAATTCTCGTCTACATGATTTCTGAACTCATGCTTGTTATAAGTAGTAAATACAATTAAAAGAAATCTGAAGGAAGCCTTCTACTGCTTACGTAGAGATTAGGCTATCCCTGTTTAGGAAGAATTCCTTATTAGTGACGCACAATGACAAAACTCCATTGTACAATTTTTTATTGTTTCTGAGATAACATTTTCATAAATGTCTTTAAATTTTAATCATCTATATATTATATACGCGAAGGAAAAACTTTGTATCCCTCTTTACGAAAATTGCGCGGACGGAGGAATATGTAATTTCCCACACTTATAGAGAATATAGAGACGGAGTGCAGAATGTAAATATTTTTTAAAATTATGCTTAAAAACTACATGAAATCAATAAAAAAAACATTACACACACTACCACGTATTTGACGCACACACGCATGCATACTATATAATTATTGTCAAACTTTTGTTCTTGACGTCTGTGGTCAAATTGAGAATAGTGGAATAGATTAAATATTGTTTGTCTATTACTTAATATTTTTCTATAGTGTAGTCTTGGCGAAATTTGTGATTATGAAAGTATAATAAATAGTCTTTGAAAATATAATATTAATAGTGTACAAACTTACAATTTCAATTAATTATAGTCGAATTTCGATTACTGCGGGACCACTAGTAGATTACTAACAGGCGCAAAATGAAAATAGTAGGCAACAGATTTACATTAAACAGATGATTTTTAACATAGATTAGGCACTAACATTTTAATTAATATAATTTAAAACTAGTCATCAAGTTTTTAATTTAGTTATATTACATATTTTCACGAATTTTGAATAACGGTATCTACACATTCTTTCAAAATTCGAACAAAAGTATTGAAATGTAACGTCTGATCATGAAGCGGATAAAATAAGTTGTTTTATTTTTTTAAAGCAATAACAATGTATTAAGACGAAATGCAGTCTTTCACAACGTTGTAATAAAACGGTAATGAAGAAACCGGTATGTGTGTAATGGTTACCTATGTTGTTTTATTTCAGCTCTGAGTCTGGTCGGCGGAGTGGCGGTGTACCCGGCCGGCTGGAACGAGACCTCAGTCCAGGAGACGTGCGGCCCCACAGCCGACCAATATAAACTAGGTCAGTTATATTAACTTTTAGGAATCGTTCTACCTTTACTGCTGGTAGGACCACTTGTGAGTCTGCACGGGTAAGTACCACCACCCCGCCTATTTCTGCTTTTTTTTTGATCGTACCTAATCTGAGAGCCTTGAGAGGCTATTTCAGCGTAACCTCAACTAGTAGGTGAACTCACGGGGCTCACTTGATGTGAGTGTTAGCAACCTGACGACGTTGCTAACACGAACCCTAACAAGAGCCGTGCTTCGCAGAATCTACTGAGAAGATCCGGCGAGAAACTCAGTGGGCTGTGTCTGCGGGTTAATTTGCTCGCTGAGCCCGTCATCGCAAGCGACGGGTTCGACGAGAACGATGACCGGTGCTTGAGGTACCTAAAAGCACCGTTAGTGAATCGGGAGGATCCGAAATGACGTGTTTGGGCGACGTCGACTGCTTTCCATCCTGTCTGCAGGATCGGGAATGTAGTTACCGGCGGCCACGATGAGAGGGTTCTCGTGTCGTGCCGCTTTATCGAAGTGAATCTCGTGGCGCCGGTCACACTTATATCCATTCTGTTCCAGGCGGCTGCCACATACGCTGGGCGTACATCTTGGCCGCGATAGGGTGTCTGGACGGCGCGGTGCTGTCCGCGCTCGCCTTCATCCTGGCCACGCGGCACGTGCGGCTGCGACCTGATGCCGGGTACCCACCGCCGTCGCTATACAAAGGTAAGCGGAACTCATCGACAGCCTTACCCATAACGTGACTTCTAAAGCCTTTAGAGGCTATTTCAGCGTAACCCTAACGTTTGTAGGTGAGCTCACGGGGCTCAAACCTGATGACGTTACTAACACGAACCCTAGCAAGAGCCGTGCTTCGCAGAATCTACCACCGGATCGGAAATGCGACCCACTGAGAAGATCCGGCGAGAAACTCAGTGGGCTGTGTCTGAGGGTTAATTTACTCGTCGAGCCCTTCGTCGCAAGCGACGGTTTCAGTGAGAACGATGACCGGAACTAATAAATAGTGTTTTTATTGATTATGAGAAATGTTCACTTTGGTCTATGGACATCGGTTATGTCAGTACCGTCGAGGAATTCTGAGTGGCTACTGTCCCCGTTGTGCCAACAGTAATACTGGTGGTAGGACCTCGTTTGAGTCCGCACGGGTAGGTACCACCACCCTGCCTATTTCTGCCGTGAAACAGTAATGCGTTTCGTTTTGAAGATTGGGGCAGCCGTTGTAACTATACTGAGAGCTTATAATCTCAAGGTGGCTCGCATTTACGTTATAGATGTCTATGGGCTTCGGTAACCGTTTACTTCAGGTGGGCTGTGAGCTCGTTTACCCATCTAAGCAATTAAAATACTGTACGAAGTTACAACTCTGGGTGTGTCCTCCCGCCCCCCATACTTAGGGGCGGTAGAGGGCGAAGTGAACGGAAATATACACTCATAAACATATTTAAAAAAAAACCAATAATCCTTTAAACAAATAAGCATCGAACTATCAAGATTGTTTGTAATTGTAACGTTGCATTTAAAATGACGATCAAACAAACTTTTAAATTAATAACGCTTCACGGTTTATTCTACGCTTTTATTATTTTCACTTTAATATTTCCTGTGTAACGTAACGGAGCAGTCCATACTTCTCGTGGTCACTAAAATTAAACGCTGGTTAAGTATGGACATTATTTTTGTGGTAACGTTAAAATCAATTGTGTTTGTTAGGTATGCATATCTGTCTACCCAAAAAATATGGAAAATTTGTAACTTTATTTTTTACTAGCTGACCCGGCATACTTCGTAGTGCCTCAATAGATAAATAAAAGACCTAAACTTTTGTATAAAATAAACTTAAAACAAACAAAAGGAATCCGTCCGACGGGGACACATCAAAGGAAAATCAAAATTATTTTTATTTAATTCCGAGCATTTTCATATTTATCTACCTTTTAAACCTTCTCTGGACTTTCACAAATAATTCAAGACCAAAATTAGCCAAATCGGTCCAGCCGTTCTCGAGTTTTAGCGTGACTAACGAACAGCAATTCATTTTTATATATATAGATAGATTATTCAGTCAGGTAAATAAGCTCGCGGCCCACCTGGTGTTAATTGGTTACCGGAGCCCATAGACATCTACAACGTACCTGAATGCGGCCATTCGCCTTGAGATATTAAGTCGAAGTAACAAATAGCCTATTAATTACGCAAATTATAATGAATTATTGCGGTTTTGATTTTTATTAAACGACTTTATTCCTTCATCGTGTAAATGAATCGTGAACAGTTGTTAAGTGGTTTTTACTGGTGGTAGGACCTCTTGGGAGTCCGCACGGGTAGGTACCAACACCCCGTCTATTTCTGCCGTAAAGCAGTAATGCGTTTCGGTTTGAAGGGCGGGGCAGCCGTTGTAACTATACTTGAGACCTTAGAACTTATATCTCTAGGTGGGTGACGCATTTACGCTGTAGATGTCTATGGGCTCCAGTAACCACTTAACATCAGGTGGGCTGTGAGCCAGTCCACACATCTAAGCAATAAAAAAAGTGTGTATTTGATTTCAAAAATAAGTTTGTCTGCGGGATCCGAACAAGCACAGTGGTATTGCTTGATATAAATACACCGGGCGTCTTATCCATTAGGCCACGACGACTTCTACCTCTTTCGAACTTCTAACCCGAGGGTTCGCGCGTCTGTCTTGTCGCAGGTACCTTTGCACAAATCGTATTCTTTCGAAACGCCCCGAAGTCCGACCGCACCCACCAGAGCGCTATTACTGCAACACATTATCGAAATTCCTAAGAATTACATAAAATCATTTTACGAACGCCAATTAAATTAGAAATTAGAATATTTGATCGGAATTAGAGTCGAGGTTTGAATCTTTCGGAGATTAAGTAATAGAAGCGTGTTAGTGTTACGTGTCACGCATAATAAAATGCTTAAAGGAGCATACGACCGGTGGCGACCTCAAATGTGATATATGAATTAATATTTTTTCCCGTCTAACTCGCTGTTCAAATGTTTGTGGGATAACTTTACGATTTCCCCATTATTTTTTTCAATTCACTCATCCTCTATTTCTATTGTTTTGTTAGCAAATGTGATATATACGGTCACCGTCCTCGTCGAACCCGTCGAACGAATTAACCCATAGACACAGCCCACTGAGTTTCTCGCCGGTTCTTCTTAGTGGGTCGCGTTTCCGATCCGGTGGTAGATTCTGCGAAGCACTGCTCTTGCTAGGGTCAGTGTTAGCAATATTCCGGTTTGAGCCCTGTGAGCTCACCTTAACACAATAGGGTGAAGCTGAAATAGCCTATCAAGGCTATCAGCATAGGTAGGATAAAAAAAAATATATATAAATTAATATTTTCTCCCATCTAATTCGCTGTTCGAGTGTTTGTAGGTAACTTTAGCGTTCCCTCATTTTTTCAATTTACCCATCCTCTATTTCTATTGTTTTGTTGGCGTAATGGTTGTTACTAGGACTAAACCCGGTACCCCCAGATCGGAGACAGTTTTCTGTTCCAGATAAGGGGTTCTGATCTGGTATGTATGTCTGGTAGTCTGGCGTGATCCTCCCCCTCATGTCCGAGGATCGTGACCTTCGTGTGTGATTTTCGTTGTCGCGATGTCATGCTCTAGTTTTGTATTCGGCTACTGAAAGAGTGTCGTTAAGGGCGGCTCCGAACGCGGTAAAGACCTGGTCAGACCATTACATGGGTCTGGGGTTCCGCGACCTATCCCTTCCACTCTACCAGTAACCACTAAAATACAAGTCGTCGTGGCCTAAAGGATAAGACGTCCGGTGCATTCGTGTGTAGCGATGCAACGGTGTTCGAATCCCGCAGGCGGGTACCGATTTTTCTTATGAAATACGTACTTAACAAATGTTCACGATTGACTTTCACGGTGAAGGAATAACGTCGTGTAATAAAAATCAAACTCGCAAAATTATAATTACTGGTGGTAAGACCTCTTGTGAGTCTGCATGGGTACCAACCACCACCGTGCCTATTTCTGCCGTGAAGCAGTAACGCGTCTCTCTTTGAAGGGTGGGGCAGCCGTTGAGTACAACAAGTGAGACCTTAGAACTCATGTCTTTTTTTATTGCTTAGATGGGAGGACGAGCTCAACCGTGATGGGAGCGGCCGCTGACGTTTGCTCCTGACCCAGATACGAACCAGGCCACTTAAAGTTTTCTTTATTTCATAGATGAGTGGACGATCTCACAGCCCACCTGATGTTAAGTGGTTACTGGAGCCCATAGACACCCACAACCTAAATGCGCCACCCACTTTGAGATATAAGTTCTAAGATCTCAGTATAGTTACAACTCGAGGTGTCTCAAGCTGGGTGTCGGCCTTTACGTTGTAGATGTCTATGGGCTCCGGTAACCACTTAACACCAGGTGNAAAACAGCTATTTTCATTTTTTACTTATTTTTATTAAATAATAATCTAATAAAATCAACATAAAGTCCAACATTTCATAAAACCGAAAAAACAAACGACTAGTTAGAAAATAATAAACGATTAATTATATTAATTTTTAATTCACATACAAACTTTGCGTTTTAGTATTTTAAATTTTAACATGTGACGTCACAAAAGTATTGACCCCCTCATGCCCCTTGCCACACGATGTCACACTTCGGTGATACCCTCCCTCCCCATTAACGTGTGACGTACTTTATGGATGGCCCCCTACTCATCTTCCATATAGGTATTTTCGGTTTAACCATACGTATGACACGTAGGATTTATAAATTGGCAGTATAATAATATGTATAATATGCATATATTATAATACTAGCTTTTGCCCGCGACTCCGTCGGCTTGGAATAGTTACTTTGGCATAACGCTAAATTTTACTCCCCACTTCATTTACGTAGAAACTGAAAATATTTTTGAATTGTAGAATGTTAAGGATCTATTTAAACCCTTATTTTGAAACATTCTTTATTGGTGCTCCACTTGTATTGGTCTTACCGTGATGCTATATAGCATATAGCCTTTCTCGATAAATGGGCTGTCTAACACTGAAAGAATTTTTTAAATAGGACCAGTCGTTTCTAAGATTAGCGCGTTCAAACAAACAAACTCTTCAACTTTATAATATTAGTGTAGATTTTATTTTCCATAAAACAGTGCCACCACAGCATTCCCTATTGTTATCACTTTGGTTGAGTGATAGAGAAATTAAGCATTAAATCCGTAAAGATACCCTTTGCGCATAAAGTTAAAAAAAAGTTATCAGCAAAATTACATTGTTACCACTGGCAACACTGTCCGGTATTACGAAGTTTTCAACATAATTATAGTGAAACTGAACACAAATCAAGCGTCCCATTGAAAACTTTCCCTTCTGATAGTTACTAAGGTCCAGTGCGTCATACCAATAATTCTCGTCTACATGATTTCTGAACTCATGCTTGTTATAAGTAGTAAATACAATTAAACAAAATCTGAAGCGGCCTTCTGTTTACGGAGAGATTAGGCTATCCCTGTTTAGGAAGAATTCCTTAATAGTGACACACAATGATAAAACTCCATTGTACATTTTTTCATTGTTTCTTAGATAACAATTTCATAAATATCTTAAATTTTAATCATAGATTACTAACAGGCGCGAAATGAAAATAGTAGGCAACAGATCTACAATAGATGATTTTTGACATAGATTACTAACATTTTAATTAATATAATTTAAAACTAGTCATCAAGTTTTTAATTTAGTTATATTACATATTTTCACGAATCTTGAATACGAGTATTAGTATCAGTACCTACATATTCTTTCAAAATTAGCACAAAAGTATTGAAATGTAACGTCTGATCATGAAGCGGATAAAATAAGTTGTTTTATTTTTTTAAAGTAATAAAAATGTATTAAGACGAAATGCAGTCTTTCACAACGTTGTAATAAAACGGTAATGAAGAAACCGGTATGTGTGTAATGGTTACCTATGTTGTTTTATTTCAGCTCTGAGTCTGGTCGGCGGAGTGGCGGTGTACCCGGCCGGCTGGAACGAGACCTCAGTCCAGGAGACGTGCGGCCCCACAGCCGACCAATATAAACTAGGTCAGTTATATTAACTTTTAGGAATCGTTCTACCTTTACTGCTGGTAGGACCCCTTGTGAGTCTGCACGGGTAAGTACCACCACCCCGCCTATTTCTGCTTTTTTTTTGATCGTACCTAATCTGAGAGCCTTGAGAGGCTATTTCAACGTAACCTCAACTAGTAGGTGAGCTCACGGGGCTCACTTGATGTGAGTGTTAGCAACCTGACGACGTTGCTAACACGAATCCTAGCAAGAGTCGTGCTTCGCAGAATCTACTGAGAAGATCCGGCGAGAAACTCAGTGGGCTGTGTCTGCGGGTTAATTTACTCGCTAAGCCTTTCATCGCAAGCGATGGGTTCGACGAGAACGATGACCGGTGCTTGAGGTACCTAAAAGCACCGTTAGTGGATCGGGAGGATCCGAAATGACGTGCTTGGGGCGACGTCGACTGCTTTCCATTCTGTCCGCAGGATCGGGAATGTAGTTACCGGCGGCCACGATGAGAGGGTTCTCGTGTCGTGCCGCTTTATCGAAGTGAATCTCATGGCGACGGTAACACTTATATCCATTCTGTTCCAGGCGGCTGCCACATACGCTGGGCGTACATCTTGGCCGCGATAGGGTGTCTGGACGGCGCGGTGCTGTCCGCGCTCGCCTTCATCCTGGCCACGCGGCACGTGCGGCTGCGACCTGATGCCGGGTACCCGCCGCCGTCGCTATACAAAGGTAGGTGGAACTCATCGCCGACAACCTTTATTTTATTTAATATGTATTTCTTATCTATGTATCTTTGTATGTATGTATCTATGTATCGTAGAAGTCGTCGTGGCCACGAAGACTTCTACCTCTATCGAACTTCTAACACGAGTCACCCTCAGACACAGCCCACTGAGTTTCTCGCCGGATCTTCTCAGTGGGTCGCGGTGCCGATCCGGTGGTAGATTCTGCGAAACACTGCTCTTGTTAGGGTTCGTGTTAGCAACGTCGTCAGGTTTAAGCCCCGTGAGCTGAACTACTAGTTAAGGTTCCGCTGATATAGCCTCTCAAGGCTTAAAGCTTAGGCAGGAAAAGAAAAAAAAAACTAACCCGAGGGTTCGCGCGTCTGTCTTGTCGCAGATACCTGTGCACAAATCGTATTCTTTCGAAACGCCCCGAAGTCCGACCGCACCCACCAGAGCGCTATTACTGCAACACATTATCGAAATTCCTAAGAATTACATAAAATCATTTTACGAACGCCAATTAAATTAGAAATTTGAATATTTGATCAGAATTGGAGTCGAGGTTTGAATCTTTCGGAGATTAAGTAACAGAAGCGTGTTAGTGTTACGTGTCACGCATAATAAAATGCTTAAAGGAGCATACGACCGGTGGCGACCTCAAATGTGATATATAAATTAATATTTTCTACCGTCCAATTCGCTGTTCCAATGTTTGAGGGATAACTTTACGATTTCCTCATTATTATTTTTCAAATCTCAGTAAATGACCACAATTTTACTGCGATTATATTTCATCCCATATCATCTCATTTCATTTAATGTCATCCCAGTTGATTAATGCCTCAAATTAATCATCTTCATTTCATTTCACTTCATATTATCATTTATCATAAAATTAAGAATATAAATTAAAATAAGACATGACTTAAAGGTCTTAGTTACCAGGTCATAAAATCCATAAAAAAATTTTTTATTATTTTTCAATTCACTCATCCTCTATTTCTATTGTTTTGTTAGCAAATGTGATATATACGGTCACCGCCCTCGTCGAACCCATCGCTTGCGACGAAGGGTTCAAAGAGCCCTAATTATTAAATATTAATTATTAATTAACCCATAGACACAGCCCACTGAGTTTCTCGCCGGATCTTCTCAGTGGGTCGTGTTTCCGATCCGGTGGTAGATTCTGCGAAGCACTGCTCTTGCTAGGGTCAGTGTTAGCAACACTCCGGCTTGAGCCCCGTGAGCTCACCTACACACAATAGGGTGAAGCTGAAATAGCCTATCCAGGCTATCAGCATAGGTAGGATAAAAATAATAATATATAAATTAATATTTTCTCCCGTCCAATTCGCTGTTCGAGTGTTTGTAGGTATCTTTAGCGTTCCCTCATTTTTTCAATTTACCCATCCTCTATTTCTATTGTTTTGTTGGCGTAATGGTTGTTACTAGGACTAAACCCGGTACCCCGAGATCGGAGACAGTTTTCTGTTCAAGACGTTCCAGATCAGAGGTCATGACCTGGTATGTGTGTTTGGTAGTCTGGCGTGATCCTCCCCCTCATGTCCGAGGATCGTGACCTTCGTGCGTGATTTTCGTTGTCGCGATGTCATGCTCTAGTTTTGTATTCGGCTACTGAAAGAGTGTCGTTGAGGGCGGCTCCGAAAGCGATGCAGACCTGGTCAGACCATCACACGGGTCTGAGGTTCCACGACCTCTTCCTTCCGCTCTACCAGTAACCACTAAAATCTAAGTCGTCGTGGCCTAAAGGATAACACGTCCGGTGCATTCGTATGTAGCGACGCACCGGTGTTTGAATCCCGTCAGTCCACTGAGTTTGTCGCCGGATCTTCTCAATGGGTCGCGTTTCCGATCCGGTGGTAGATTCTGCGAAGCACTGCTCTTGCTAGGGCCAGTATTAGCAACACTCCGGTTTGAGCCCCGTGAGCTCACCTACACGTTAGGGTGAAGCTGAAATAGCCTCTCAGGCTATCAACATAGGTAGGAGAAAAAAAAAGAATCCCGCAGGCGGGTACCAATTTTTCTAATGAAATACGTACTTAAAAATGTTCACGATAGTCTTCCACGGTGAAGGAATAACAATGTGTAATCAAAATCCAAACCCGCAAAATTATAATTTGCGTAATGACTGGTGGTAGGACCTCTTGTGAGTCCGTACGGGTAGGTACAGTACAACGGCTGCTCCGCCCTTCAAACCGAAACGCATTACTGCTTCACGGCAGAAATAGGCAGGGTGGTGGTACCTACCCGCGCAGACTCACACGAGGTCCTACCACCAGTAATTACGCAAATTATAATAATGCACTCGGTCTGGCTGCTACCAAGTGAGGAGTCCTGGCATTAAATTTTAATGTATATAATATTATATGGTCCTGGCTCTCGTCATACAAAATGTCATATTCTCAATTGCAGGCGAGGTCAACAACGGCTACGTGACGGACGCGACATCTGTTAGCGGCTCTAGGAAGTCTCTGGCGCTGCAGCCCGTGCTCATCATGCACCCGCACGCGCCCATGGACATGGACACATACTCCCACTACTCGGGACGGACCGCGCGATCCAAACACGGAATGTACGCGAACACGATGCATAATTATCAATTATAATTCAACTGTAAAGCGTTTAAAATTCTGTCCGAACATTGGCACTACCGCTAGATGGCGCTTTACTTTTTAATAAATAGTACCGGTAATTTCCGCGAGATGGCGCTTTTATAAATTATTTTTAAATCTATATACTAGAGAAGGAAGAAACAATACAGGTGTAGTTTTAATGCATTACAATATACTTTTAATTGTAACATCTAGTACTTAATAAGTGAAGTCTTATAAATAAACTTGTAACGTACAAAACGGTTGAACAAATTAAATTAAAATTTTTAAACTACACTTATATTTTAAGTATATATTTGTTAAACTAAAATGTAAATAATTTAGATTTAGCTGTAAGATTTTGTACCTAACATTTGTTATTATATTTAGGTAATAAAAACCATCGGTTATATACTTTAACACTAGATCTTCGGATGGTATGGTAAATTTACTTAAATTAATGAAAAAAAGAACGGATTAAATTTATGGTAACTTCTGAGAGGGAGCGGTAGAGGTTTTCTTCGCGTCCTACCGACTAGTGCATAAGTACGAACTATGTGAACTGTGTGTGACTTTACAACGTAACGAAACCCAAACTAACCAACTAGTGCCTTGTAGAAAGCCTTTTGTATTTTGTGAATAATAAAAATTTTTATAAGCGTTTTCTTTGTCTAACTTTGAACGTGAACCTCAAAATAAAATATCGGACCCCGCTTTCCTCCCGCGCCTCCAGCGCTATGGACCATAGATATTTTTTGTCTTGGTAAAATTTTTCCTTATTAGGAAAGGCAAGGGGATCTAAGCTCAGAACCATAGATAATACACTTAATATTATCTATGGTCCGTAGTAGTCCGTACGAACGCTTGTGTGTAATTGACCACACCATGGCTGAGCCTTTGCTCGCCCACCTGTCCTAGTGAAATCGTAAAGGCCTTCCGGCCACCGATAATACTTTAAACAGAAAATAAATAACAGTTTAAAAAAATACGCTTTTATCGAAAATCCAACTAAAAAATAGAGAATAAATTTTAATAAATTTGAATTAAAAATAGTGTGATAAAAAATGATTTTATTATAAAAAAAGCGTGGGGTGGGTGGTATCAGTAGTTAAGAATTGCTTGGCGGCCGAAGCGGACTGGATCAGGAATACGTTGAAAGAAATAAGAAACCAGTTCAAATCAATTTATTTAACTTCCAAACTTTAGTCTTCGTAAAACCGTTGTTCTCCTCTTGGCTTTCCCGTGGCATTTTGTACTCGGCGAGCATCTGCACGTGTCGTCTACGCTTCTCTGTCAAGCCGTGACGACCTGGATCTCCTATTAGTATCTACAAATATTCACAATTGACGCAATAAAATCTCTCATGAACGCCCTGTTCCCCGGATGCTATTGTTCCTCTTCAAACGTGAATAGAAAAGAGTTTCTAATGAGAAATCCAATGACTAGCTAAAGACTACAAATAATATGAAGGTGGTACCTAGTCGCCGTCTGTTATCAGCGATGATGACTATGGTAAGGTCTTGAAGACTACTTGTTTTTTACAGATTCGGAATGAAGTTCCACGACAGAGAAACCGTAAAGAAACTCAAGGCTTGCTCCTCTGAGAAGGAAAGGTTGAGGGATTAAACAGTCAATCTGGTATCTTGTAAATTAGATTCTTTGACTCGCGGATAGAACTTAGACAATCTCAGGGATCACCCTACGTCAAATGGTGCTGGAGTTCCAGCTCGAGATAGCCAACGGACTGATTGACAGACATAATGATCGACAGACTGACAGACTTCCCGAGGTGTGTTCTCTTTGAAAAATTTGACTATCGAAAAATGTTAAAAAATACTATTTTTTTATTTTTTATTTTTTTTTATTGCTTAGATGAGTGGACGAGCTCACAGCCCACCTGGTGTTAAGTGGTTACTGGAGCCCATAGACATCTACAACGTAAATGCGCCACCCACCTTGAGATATAAGTTCTAAGGTCTCAATTATAGTTACAACGGCTGCCCCACCCTTCAAACCGAAACGCATTACTGCTTCACGGCAGAAATTACTAGATTTTATTTTTCATCAGAATATAGTCGTAGCCATATCACTGCCAGTTCGGAGCGCATAAAGCTATCTATATTCAACAAACTATAATTAGACTAATTAGTATGTATTAACACAACATTTTGCAAATGATTCCTGTCACTTTTCTGACATTGCACACAAAATTTGGTAATATCGGGTTTACTCTATTGATACAGGTATACCTAATCATTAAGTAATACAGTCAAAACCGTTTACTGCGACATCGTTTAATACAACATGCCGGTTATAATAACCAAGAACAAAGGTCCCGGCTGAATGCCATATGACCGCCTTATTAAAAATATTGCTTTCTACGACATTGGTAATAACGACATACCTCATAAAACGACGACATTTAACTAATATTTCGGAGAATTAGATCTGTTAGAACGACCGGCTAAGCTGTATTGTAAACAATTTGAATAGGTATCCACATTTGTCTTCAATGGCTTTTAAAATTAGGAAAGAAAACAATAGGATTTAGTTTAGTGTAGGGTCTTTTCTAATTCTTAGAAACAAAACACGTGCATGCGGTAGTCAAAGCCCACTTCTTCATACCTCTTCAGTTAGTTTGTTACTTATCTATACACAAGACGCACCAAAACTTTGTGGAGTTATTCGTGAAACTTTCAAAATCTCGCAAAGAATAAGAAAACAAATTAATATTAAAGAAAAATCGCGTATTATGTAAATATATTTTTCCAATAATTCCCTATCGATTTGTTTGTACTTGCACGATACACATTAAACATCACCGGTTGTTACGACTATCGGTTTTTACGACTGAATATGAGCAGTCCCTTCGATGTTGTTATAACAGATTTTGACTGTACTATTAAAATCGCATTAAAATGTCATCAAATATTTATGAAACTATCATTTATCAGTTACCCGATTTAATATCAATTACGCTACATTCTTGTATTGTCTAATATAAGTATGTACTTAATGTTTTCAAACAAAACTGGTGCAGTAATTAAAAAGCAATCGATGCAAATATTCAGGGAAATTTAAAGACTCTACAGAAGCACTCGCTCCTTTTAATGTTTTATTACATAAGTTTTATTGTTTAAAATTAAATTTTTGAAGTCGCCACGGTTCAAAGGACATCACTTCGGTGTACAAAACCATAACAAGCTACTGTGTCCGGTGTTCGAAGCCCGCAGAGAGGCACGTACCTACTTACCACGGGATCATTTACGTTCTCCGCGATAAATTAATTATGTAGCCTGTAAATTTATAATAGGTGGCGGGCGTATAGCACGCCTGTCCGGATATGTACCACAATTCTACCTAGTTCTGCCGTCCAGCTGTCCTTAGTTAGGTTTTTTTCCTAGCTATAGACTTGACAGGCTATTTCAGCGTAACCTTAACTAGTAGGTGAGCTCACGGGGCTCAAACCTGACGACGTTGCTAACACGAACCCTAGCAAGAGCCGTGCTTCGTAGAATCTACCACCGGATCGGAAACGTGACCCATTGGGAAGATCCGACGAGAAACTCAGTGGGCTGTGTCTGTGAGTTAACTTACTCTTCGAGCCTTTCGTCGCAAGCAACAGGTTCGTCAAGAACGATGACCGGTTTTTGAGGTACCTAAAAGCACCGTTAGTGGATCGGGAGGATCCGAAATGACGTGTCCCTTAGTTACAGTTTGAAGAGAGCGACAGTTGTTACATAATACAACTTGAAGCTTTGATCTCATGTCTGAAGATGGAGGCGACATTAGAGGTAACACTAGCTAGAAGCTGTCGAGTAGGTACCCCTATTCTAAGGTCAGTCGGACTGTGCATTGCAAGTATCGGCTCCTCTGTACTAAAACTTTATCAATGACATTGGCAGTTTCTAAAATTCAAGGTTCAAATATCTTGTACGGGAATGTCGGGGTCAATGACCGAAGTACTATTCCTTACGAGCGCAACTACAAATATGAAACTTACCGTTTTTCCTGCTTCGTGCAATTTAATTAGCCATTCGAATAGTGTGTGAGAAAAATCGTCATCGTAAAACATATCACCGATCAAAATCACATTGAACTCTTCACATTTTGTACCAATTAAATTCTTGGAACTAGTATCAATTAGTACTCCATTTAAATTTGCATTCAGATGTGTTGCTGCAAGTGCATCTGAAATAAATTAGATATTTCATTCTGTGCCTTAACAGGGGATGTAGCTCAGTGGTAGAGCGTTCGCTTTGCATGTGAAAGGCCCCGGGTTCGATCCCCGGCATCTCCAAGCTTTTTGTAATTCTTTTACTCACAGTGGTCAATGTCGTTGGCCAAAACATATTTTGCCTTCATTTTAGCGGCCGCAATTGATCCCGCTCCGCAACCACATCCAATGTCTAATACATTACGATCTTTTACCAAGTCTTGGTTGTCTAGTATGTACCTGTAACAAGCAGCATAAATCGCTTAATTGCAAATTTCGATTGTTTTGAACAGGCAGATGTCAGAAGCGGCTTTACCCATTATACAAGGTGTGGGCGTAGCGGCGACAGGGGACGCTAGCGTCGACACTTTCAATGAACCTGTCATGGGAGGGTGTGCACACGGACGAAACATAAGCCAAAAAATAGCCTATTTTTTAAATGTGCCTTGTGAATATCCCAATGAGTGCTGTTTTAACATACAACAATCTGAATTTTTTACTGAGAACCAAAATAATTTCAGTACAAAACTGATTTTCTGAATTATATAGGTACCTTTAAAATTTATTAAGGTTCGATTTTTCTTGTGAGTCTATACAGGCATGGAGCTACCCTATCTTGAATAATATAAGACTTGTTGAATTTTAAGGTTTTTGAAATCTTGCGCCATCTGTTGTCAAATAGTTAATTAAAATATTTGTTTTATTTACTACTAGATGGCAGGTTGCATTTTACAGCTGATTTTTTTGTTCTAATAATAATTGTGAATCGAAAACACAAGTGATTGTAAAATAATAATTACGTAGTGAACATTTATTAAATAATTTCTACAAATTTTCCTACAAAAAACACTATACTCAACTGATAAATACAAATAAACAGGAAAAATTAGTCAATTTGCATAAATACAAATTATATAGCAAAATTTAACATTAATTTAACTATTATTAAACAAAATTAATGTGATTCCAAGTAAAATTCATACCAATTTGTGTTGTTAAGGATATTAATTAACGTGTTTTCATGACAATGCTAATTAGCTTCTCGTTTGAAAAAACGTTTTTGGTAATTCCGAAAACTACAACGACCACTTTGTTTAATACAGGTATTATTAATTCTGTTGTTTTAGTAAATTGAGGTCAAAATGTTTTGAGTATACATTTTCAACGAATTCAGTGACCCGATTCATTTTATTGGAAACCTATGCAGCATACATAATTACGCAAAAGTTTATGATACGTTAAAAAAAAAAATTGAGAAAAAACAAACAAAAAGCCCGCTGAGTTTGTTTCGCCGCCGCGCCGGTTCTTCTCACACCGGTCACTCACATGCGCACGAATACGCAACCCGCAAGTGTAGGACGACATTTGCGAATGATTATGCAAAGTTTTCGCTGCATTCGTGGTTTTCCAAGCTGTGTCGGTTTTTTAACAGACATCAAAGCGCGCGAACCTCGAACCTCGAACCTTCGCGTAGTCTCCCACACATTCGCTTGCGCAGTTGCGCCGACGATTGCGAAGGTAACGGACGTATCGCCATTTTCATCGTTCGTGACGTCTACCGTGTAGCGTATCTTCATCAAAAGAAATCCCATAAAAACAGCATGGCTGTTAATGATGTCTGGGAAAGAATTCAAAACTCTTTTTCTTTTCAATGTTCTATTGACGAATTAAAAAGGAGGAGAAATTCGTGAGACATTCGTAAACAAGTGTAGGAGGAAGCGCAAACGGGTTCGCAAATTGAGTATGCGAACCGATTTGCACAGCCGCTAGGTTTGCGAATGAATGTTTGACGGCCCTTCACATGCGCGCAAACATTCGTACAATGTACGAATATTAGCGCGCATGTCAGTGGCCGGCATCAGGACTGTGGCTCTTTTTGGAACCGGTGGTAGAGTTAAGATTTATATTTATATTTTGACATTCAACAAGTGTTATGCTGACATCTAAGTTGAAATAAATGATTTGAATTGAATTTCAAAAGACCTAAGTCGAACTGTGAATGCAGTTGGATACTTTTTGTACATACTACATACTCTGTCAAGAAAGTACCGGGAATAGAGGAATATTTCACAAAATGTTAGTTATTTATCCAATTTCATTCTATCACCTTCAAAGTAAGTATGCTCCTTTAGAAACGATATAATTACGTGAACGAATAATCCAATCATAAAAACAAAAAATGTGTTTTTCGGGAATTGAGTTCGGTTTTCGCCGCGAATTCTCTTTGATGTCTTCTAACGAATGAAAACGTGATCCACGAAGTGGTGATTTGAGTTTAAGATAAATGAGTCGACTATTATCAAAGCCGGCAATGTGACTTTTGGAAAATTATTGGTAAATCAGAAAAACGAATTATTGACTTTGTATTCCATTGGCAGTCACAAAACTCTTCGGAACGACATCTTAGATAAATAACAGGTTAAGTTAATACTTTATTTAACGCAGGTTTTGAACCGTATTCTTTGAAAGAGACAATTATATTCAAATCAATCTGTATCGCCATATCAATAACATTTTTTTGTCCAAATGCACAGATTGCCACCTTTGATAATAGACGACTCAAATAAGAAATTCGGCTGTGGAGCCTTATCGATGGCATTCGTTGAGTTTTTGATTCGTTCACATTGATGGCATTTGTTAAGTTTTTGATCAACAATTCGTTCACAATGATGGTCTACCAGAGCGAGGCAAATCTTTCATCACATCTCGACAGCATTTGAACGCTTTGTACCATTCATGAGCACGTGTTTTTGAAAAATTCGATTCACCATAAGCCTTCTGCGACTCGAAACACGAAATCTCATTGGCGATGCAAAGGAGATTGCCCATTCTTGGTTTCGTGTTGTGCTACGATCAAATATATATTAAAAATTAAGTTTTTATTTTTAACAATTTCCTCAAGAATATTAAGTTATAACTTCGCCGGGTATAGAAGATTAAAATAATTAGTAACTTAAAAACTTCTAACCTAGTAGTAGTTCAATTTTCTCAATGAAAAGGCAAAGGTAATATATCATACAGCCTAATCTTTAAAAAAATATGATATTATGGAGTGATATGAAATCAAGTTGATTAATTTGAGACATTAATCAATTGTTATGAAATGAAATGAAATGAGATGAGATGATATGAAATATAATCTCAGTAAAATGTTGGTTATTTACTGAAACTTTTTCAGTGGACTTTTTGGGGGATGCCCAGAAGTTATGTCCAGCGGCTTTGGTTAATTTTCGCACATTTGTGCACTTTCACAGATACTAAACAGTTAATAAACCACCGTTATTACGCATTTACACCTGAAGAAACACTAAATAGACAAAATAAAACAAATCACACAACTTGACTCCTCGCCTTCCCGCCAAAAAGTCCACAAAAGCCTCAGGATACCGTGACCGTGACTGTTAGTCGGATAAGGGAATTCCTTAATAATTTAATTGGCAACTACTTATCACATACCTAATTATGGTTCTTTCGTAAAAATTAAAACATTGAATTTCTTTATTCAAGGTTGCAACTATTGAATCTGAACCTTTAAAAGGAATAGAATAGACAATTAATAACAATAAATGTTCCTTATTTTCGTATTCCATATTAAGCGGGGGTGAGTTGTGAACAATCTCTAGTGGCAAATAAATCCGTATCTGTTGAAGAAGCGATGTGAGTCACGCTTCTGAGAATCCATCCCTCGGAAGACACAGCCACCCTCCAGACGGCTGAATTCGTGGAAATAAGATTATCCGCAATCCCTTAATGAGATTCCAGTATTTTTCGTCGAACGTATAGTTTCCCCGAAACGCTTTTATGTTACTCGGAATTTAATGTTATGCAGAAGTTTGTTTATTGCTAAAGTTAACACTGAAAGATACAATGCCAGCATTTCACGTGTACTGGATGTGTTATTACAACTAGAGACAGATATGGTAGTCCTTGTGACTGAGACGCCATTTTTAGCGTTTGTTTTTGTACAAACGATATTGAAACACAATTTTCAATATGTTTATTTTTTTAAATAATTATAAATAGACGACATGCTTTAACAAAAACCGACTTTAAATTAAAAAAAAGATATTCCAAAACAAATTAATATACACTAAAAACAATAATCATCGAAATCGGTTGGCGTGATATTGAGTTATTCATCTATTTGTCGCGCACGTACTTAATGCAAATTTTAGACTTATATGGTTTTCTCATGGATACCATTATCAGAACTAAATTGGGACCATAAGGGGAAGCGTCTGCTTTCTAATAATAAAAGAATCATCAAAATCAATTCACTCAGTTAAAAGTTATGAGGTAACAAACATAAAATAAAAATAAAACATGCACTCGAATTGAGAACCTCCTCCTTTTTTGAAGTCGGTTAATAAAACTGTGAATGCAATAACCACAAACCGCCATAACTACCGTGTTATGGAAAATCTGAAGTTTTGTACGTTGTACATTGCGCGTCATGAAATATTAATGTTGACATTTTTAAGACAGTTAATTTCTATTTATTATTATATTACAAGTGTTCTGGTTTCGGAGAGCTCTACGCCCTGCACTGTAAGAAGTTCAAGGTTGTCTTGAGTGAGTCAAGGGCATTAACGGGCGGGTATTAACCTGAACGCGAATGACCTTGGGTGAATAATTCATTTTGTGGTGAGACATCTAATTTACTGTTTTCGGTCGCACGTGAGGACGACAGGTGTATCGTAAGTATGCGCCGCGGTTTTTTCCTCTACCTATTCGTTGGTAGAAGTCGTCGTGGCCTAAAGGATAAGACGTCCGGTGCATTCGTATCTAGCGATGCACCGGTGTTCGAATCCCGCAGGCGGGTACCAATTTTTGTAATGAAATACGTACTTAACAAATGTTCACGATCGACTTCCACGGTGAAGGAATAACATCATGTAATAAAAATGAAACCCGTAAAATTATAATTTGCGTAATTACTGGTGGTAGGACCTCTCATGAGTCCGCGCGGTTAGGTACCACCACCCTATCTATTTCTGCCGTGAAGCAGTAATGCGTTTCGGTTTGAAGGGTGGGGTAGCCGTTTTAACTATACTGAGACCTTAGAACTTATATGTCGAGGTGGGTAGCGCATTTACGTTGTAGATGTCTATGGGCTCCAGTAACCAGTTAACACCAGGTGGGCTGTGAGCTCGTCTACCTATTTAAGCAATAAAACTAAAAAACAAAGAAAAAAATAGCCTAATAGGTCATTCCAGCTACGCCCAGATGGGTAGGTGAGCTCACGGGCTCAACTTGAGAGAATTTGCTAACACTCGTAGCACTGGCAAGAGCAGTGCTTCGGAGAATCTACCACCGGATCGAAATCGGGCTGTTTTTTTTTTTTTTTTTTTATTGCTTAGATGGTTGGACGAGCTCACAGCCCACCTGGTGTTAAGTGGTTACTGGAGCCCATAGACATCTACAAAGTAAATGCGCCACCCACCCCGAGACACAAGTTGTAAGGTCTCAGTATAGTTACAACGGCTGCCCCACCCTTCAAACCGAAACGCATTATTGCTTCACGGCAGAAATAGGCAGGGCGGTAGGCAGGTTTATGGGTTAGTTTGCTCGTCAAGCTCTTCGTCTTAATCGACGAGGACGGTGACCGGTGCTTGAGGGACCTAAAAGCACCGAGAGTGAATCCGGGGGATCCGACAAGACATGTTTTGGGCGACAGCGGCTTTGTGTTGGCCCGTCTTGAGTTATACTTTACGAGGAATTAAGGTTAATTCGGTAGCGCGATGGAAGAATGAAACAGCGTCGGTATCATCTGATCCTAAATCGGTATCATCTAAATCCTCTGTCGTCTGGTTACTTTACCTACAGACCCTGTGTCACTACATCTGGGTTCGTTTTCCGGTCGAAAAAATTTAGTTATTTCTCATATGTTTATTGTGTATATCAGTGAAGAAGCTCACGGACTAGTGTAAATGCGTTACCGGAGACTTTGGACTTCACAACAGAAATGCCACTATCTATCTTGATAATTGAGTTCGAAGTCTTAACAACAACAAGCAGATAGGCAAAGCTGTGAGGGTACTCATAAATAAATGTTGATCTTGAATAAAATATCAAACAATTTCTACGTAGTGAAATGGGTGACTAATCCTGCAGGCATTCCTGGATGACTCACAGCAGCCGTCCCTTTCTTTGCACATTCAAATGTATATTGCCATCTTTCTCTATATTTCTTCTAATAGTTTGTTTCGATCGCACCTCGGCGTATTTGTATCGTTTATCTCGTTCTACGTTCCGATATTGAGGCTTTCCTTGTGCCCAATTTATAGTTCGATATTTTAAAATCACCACTAAGCTTTGGCGGGAAACGTTTACTTGAATGACAATTATAGTTGCACAGAGAACTTTTTGGTTATATTAAAATTTTGTTTAATCAAAAATTCAACAAAGGGCATGGATAATATAGGAGAAAGAGTTCTGTGTAGTACGTTAGCAGCAGCAGCTCGGCTGTGCTCCTAGGGTTGCTGATGTCCATGATGGTGACTACTTAGGGTGTAGGGTGTAGGTGTGATAGGGTGGGCTGTAAACTCCCCTGCCTACCAAAGCAAAAAATATCTTTCCCAAGACAAAAGGTCTATCCATCTGGAGTTAAGTGTTTTCTGTAGCCCGTGGACACCATGCTGCTAAAATCGACCTTCTGACATGAATTAGAAATCTCATGGCATTGTAAAATGAACAGCAGACGAGTGTCCACGAGGATCCACAACAAAACTGAGTAGAGCACCTCATAACGGTAACCTTTGCAGTACTTATTACCCAACTTTGAACCATGAATTGGATAACTACCAGAAGATGAGGTATCAGAACCAACCGCTTCAAGATCAGGCTCAACAGGTTCTTCAAATTTCAAGACATGCATATTTGCTTATAAAGCAGTTAATGTGGTTAAAATTTAACGATAATATTACTACTTTGCGGTGAAACTAGGCTGTATGTTGTGATCTACCAGTGAAGACCTTAGAAGTAGTCAAATACCATTGCTCTTGCGGTCTAATACATCTACAAAATAATGGATTTAAAACAATATAAATTATGTGTGCAGTTCAGAAGCGGTGGGACTGAAATCTTCGAAAGGTTTCTATCTCATTCCCTCTCGGCTAGATTCTTTAGATGTTTGTTTTAGTATATCTTTGTCTCTTTTCAGTGTCGGGCGATCAAGTTTTCACTTGAAATATTGTACTATGAATAAGGAAAGGTCAAATTCTTCGTGAAACATTTCGAATGAGTCACATTTTTCTCCACGATACGATTTAGTTACAAAAGTAGTTATTGAATTGAAAAGAAGTAAAAATAATAATCCTTATGTATTTGTGGTTAAGAATTAATTTTGAATGTTATTATTCCGGTTAATGCTATTAATCAAATATGTATCAGTTTGTCATATTGATCTTGTGTTTACTTGGAATAAGTCTCATTATTAAATGACATACATTGACCATCAGCTTGACAAAGGTGGAAGATTTCTATAGTTGGGTCAGCTCGAAAAAGACGTAACTCAAAGATTTTTGTGTAGTGCTCCACATTTAGGGCTCATTTTCGGATGTCGTTCTCAAGTCTCAACATAAAATCCTGTAATATTGTAGTGACACCACATTACTAAGCATGAGACTGCAACGGTTTTAAGTATGTGGGCTTCATCCAATGTGAGTCAATCATCATCGAAAGAATCAATCTTGTCCATTTTTTTTTCATTCGCGGTTTTATATTCTTTCGCGAAGCAACTGTTCTTGAGTTGTTAGGTCTCCTTCGGAGGCGCAGGTCTTCTTCAGGCAGCTGAGGGCGATGCTCGACTTCTGCGAATGCACCATCTCGCAGAAGGAGGCGGCGGGGCACGTGAGAGACGTTGCAAATTTTCATATTTATCAGATATCTTAACAATGACGTTTAAAGATTCCGTTAAATACAAACAAACATATAAGAGTATAAACACATGCTAAGCTAAATAAAACCATGTTAAATACGGAAACACGACAATGAATAACACGTGTCTGTTCTATATTTGCTACAATCTATGCACATTTTGGCGCCATCACGCATCGTGGTAATATATCGATGCCATCACGCGGCCCGTCGCCATATTTGTGTTTTAACGTTATTTTCAAATTATCCTATGCTATAAATATTTCAATTTGAGCTGTTTTTTTTTATTGTGTATCTAAGGAAAAACACGAAATTTCCTTATTTTGATAATGTAATTCTCAACTTACGTTTATCGTTTGGTATTGCGAGGACAAATGTAAAATATAGAGGAAAATGGAGAAGAGTAAACAATGATTATTTATTGATGTATTCAATATTTACCGCGCAGTAGCCTGACCTCCGGGCCAATAGAATGCCCAGAACGGGTCTCTGAAAGGCGACTCGTCTTCTTTAGCCCTCCATAGCGGACATTCCGGTGTGATGAGACGCAGAACCAGCTCGGGAGTCAGGTGTCGTCGGGATAAGGCCGTGTGCCTTATGATGGCAGCCGAAATGTCTCTCAACATCTGAAATTAAATTATAAATTGAGATAGAACTAAAATAAATGAAACTTAAATAAGAATTGTAAAATCTATTTTATATAAAAATTGCTGTTCGTTAGTCTCTCTAAAACTCGAAAACGGCTGGACCGATTTGGCTAATTTTGGTCTTGAATTATTTGTGGAAGTAGGAGAAAAAAGTAGAACCATTATACAACGAGTATACAAATGATATTAAGACCTCATATCTAAGGTGCGATGTTTAAGGACTCGGGTAGCTAAGTAGTAGGTGGCTTGCGAGTTCGTTCACCTATCTAAGCAATAAAAATGAACCAAAAGAGGTTATGACATCAGATAAACATCTATAGTAATACAAAAATTAGGAATGCTTGTAGATTTTATTGAAGATTAAGTAAAATACATAGAAAGTGAAACAAATATCGATCTTATCTGGCGATAAGTGTACGTACCACACACATATTTGCGAAACTAAATATACAACGATAAGTAGTTGGTTCTGCAGAAACACTTGTTTGTTGTTTTGCAATATTTATATTATCTTGAAGCTCAGATGATGAAATGTGGCGTTTTCTTAGAAAATAATATTTACGGTCTGGTCTAAACTATTTCAATTCTATTTTGAATTCCACGGCCATATGTTAAATGAGGAGAATATTTTTCATTGCCTGCAACTCTGTGTCTATTCGCGTGTCGCTATACTCGGAAAGTATTTTTTTTTATTTATTGCTTAGATGGGTGGACGATCTCACAGCCCACTTGGTGTTAAGTGGTTACTGGAGCCCATAGACATCCACAACGTAAATGCGCCACCCACCTTGAGATATAAGTTCTAAGGTCTCAAGTATAGTTACAACGGCTACCCCACCCTTCAAACCGAAACGCAATACTGCTTCACGGCAGAAATAGGCGGGGTGGTGGTACCTACTCGTGCGGACTCACAAGAGGTCCTACCACCAGTAACATTACAATTATGTAGATTAAATTTGGACAATATAGGACAACGGGTCTTACTAGCCAACGGTACTTGATGGTGAGTGGTCACCGTCGTTGTTTTAACCCATAGACACAGTCCACTGAGTTTTTCGCCGGATCTTCTCAGTGGGTCGAGTTTCCGATCTGGCGGTAGATTCTGCGAAGCTCTTGCTAGGGCCAGTGTTAGCATCACTCCGGTTTGAGCCCCGTGAGCTCACCTACACGTTAGGGCGAAGCTGATAAAAAAGTCGTTCTTAGATATTCCCGAGAACTATTTTTTCAGCGTTATCTGAAGACGATGAAGTCAGTCATTCTGCTTTCAATGTAAAAAAAAGTAGCTCCTAGAAACCCACCATGAATTAATCGGTCCAAAGTCAAGTCAAAATCGATCCAGCCGTTCCAACCAGAGATTAGCCGGAACAAACAGACAGACAGGCAGACAAAAAAATGTCGGTTATTTCAATATTACAAACAGACATTCCTATTTTATTTATATGTATAGATGTTATTCCTTCACCGCGAAAGTCCATCGTGAACATGTGTTAAGTACGTATTTCATTAGACAAATCGGCCCCTATCTGCGGGATTGGAACATCGACTTGTCAGGTGTATCACTAGATCGGGTGTCTTGTCCTTTAGTCTGCGCCGATTTCACGGACTGTATTCAAAGATGGAGAATAAATGTCAGTTGAAAAGATAAAAATCCTATGTTGTTTTGAATATTTCGCATTGTTAGTAAACAATCTCGACAGTTTTCCCAGTAAGTGATAAGAGCTATCAATCGGGTTTGGCGCCGCGCGGTGCTTAGCGCCGATGTCACCGGCTGACACTGACTGTCTGTTTGTTTACTNTGCGCCGATTTCACGGACTGTATTCAAAGATGGAGAATAAATGTCAGTTGAAAAGATAAAAATCCTATGTTGTTTTGAATATTTCGCATTGTTAGTAAACAATCTCGACAGTTTTCCCAGTAAGTGATAAGAGCTATCAATCGGGTTTGGCGCCGCGCGGTGCTTAGCGCCGATGTCACCGGCTGACACTGACTGTCTGTTTGTTTACTGCGCATTTTTGATTATCGGATTTTTCAGAATCCCCAGTATAGGATTACAAAGGCGTTGACAAGATAAACAGCAGGTGCAGCAAGCTAGGAATTTAATACATGTGTTTTAGATGTACTAGTTTTTTTTTTTTTTTTTTATGATTGAAGGATTACTGGTGGCCCGGAGGCCTTTCCAGTTTCACCAGGACAGGTGGGCGAGCAAAGGCTCAGCCAGGAGGGGTGGGATTTGCTAACAGCTGCCCGAGCGCCTCTGAAGGAGACCTAACAACTCAAGAGTAGCTGCTTCGCGAATGAATCTACTACCGGATCGGAATCGCGACCCGCTGAGAAGATCCGGCGAGAAACTCAGCGAGCTGATTCATGGGTTAGGTTGCACGGCGAACTCTTTGTCGAGTTCGACGAGTACGGTTACCGAGGTCCCTAAGAGATGTACTAGTGGTCCACGGTAGTCGAAATTCGACTATAATTAATTGAAATTATAAGTTTGGTATGATTCTATTGTCAAAGACTATTATGGTTCCATGTCATTACCGATCCTCCCGATCCACTAACGGTGCTTTTAGGTACCTCAAGCACCGGTCATCGTTCTCGTCGTCTATGGTCTCTCTAGGTAATAGGTAAAATATGCTTCTATAATCACAGATTGCGCCAAGACTACATTTTAGACAAATATTAATAAAGACAAACAATATTTAGTCTATTCTCAATTTGACCACAGACTATAAGCAATAAGAAAAGTTTGACAATAAACAAATAGTATGCATGCGTGTGTGGGCCAAATACGTGGTAGTTGTATGTAATGTTTTTTTTTATTGATTTAATGTATTTTTTATGCATAGTAAATAGAAATATTAACATTCTGCACTCCTCTATTATCTCTATAAGTGTGGGAAATTTCATACCCCTCCGTCCGCACAATTTTCGTAAAAAGGGATACAAAGTTTTTGCTTCACGTAATATATTGAAGAGTTCGATTACTATGAAATTCAAACATTGTCGCAAAACAAACTTGGAGCACGACCACTACAAACCTACTCATAAAGAAATGTTCTGATGTCCTGGTGGTACTGGTGGTAGTGCCTCTTGTGAGTCCGCGCGGATAGGTACCACCACCCTGCCTATTTCTGCGATGAAGCAGTAATGCGTTTCGGTTTGAAGGATGGGGCAGCCGTTGTAACTATACTGAGACCTTAGAACTTATGTCTCAAGGTGGGTGGCGCATTTACGTTGTAGATGTCTATGGGCTTGAGTAACCACTTAACACCAGGTGGGCTGTGAGCTCGTCCACCCATCTAAGCAATAAAAAAAAGACCACGCGTCGTTACATAGCTACTTTTTTCCAATTCCAGATATTCATCAGAACTGAAGACTCATCATGAACCATCCCTCCGACTCACCATCTAAGCCGAGACCAATATTACAGATTGCTTGAAGATTCATTGGTCCAGCGCGGAACTAGTCAATAATTAAGCAAGTAGGCTAAAGAAAATGAGCACGTCGCAATATATTATTTGGTAAATGTGGATTTAAGTGTGGTTAGTTAACATAATTTTCACGTAATGAGGTCGTTGGACTAAAGACGCTAGTGTGTGTGTGTGTATGATCGCTGTGAACCGCGTGAGACATGGCACGTCTCCTTCCAAATATTTTACTGTAATTCCTGATGCTGGTGGATTCTGTGGTGGTAGGGCGTTTTGTGAGCCAATATGGGTAAACACCACCATCCCAATTTTGTCGCGAAACCGTCATACAGTACTACCGAGAATTCCGCCCCATGTCTCAAGGTGAGTCGGGCATTCTATCCGAGATGTCTGTGGACTCCGGTGACCATATAACACCACAATAGTCGTGAGGAATTCAATAAAAAAACCGTTATGGTTCTACTGTACTTAGACAACTTTTCCCTTTTGTGGTATTCCCAAGGAGGTATGATTTGTATGTGAACTTAGACAGCATCGTGATTATGCTGGTATTTCTGAAACATTGTAGTAATGATAATTCTACCAATTGGGGATCCCATCGTGATTGTAATTTTTTTCCGTAAAATCCAGAGTTGGTGGCAACAGATATGTTTTCAACAACAAAAGGAAAATAATGTTACCTCTCTTATCTGTAATGAATATCATTTAAATACCCAACTAAATATTATAACATCATTTGGTAGGACCTCTTGTGAGTCCGCGCGGGTAGGTACCACCACCCTGCCTATTTCTGCCGTGAAGCAGTAATGCGTTTCGGTTTGAAGGGTGGGGCAGCCGTTGTAACTATACTGAGAACTTAGAACTTATATCTCAAAGTGGGTGGCGCATTTACGTTGTAGATGTCTATGGGCTCCAGTAACCACTTAACACCAGGTGGACTGTGAGCTCGTCCACCCATCTAAGCAATAAATAAAAATAAAAAAAAACCGAAAAATAAAACAAAAACTCATAAAAAGTGTTTCGTTCACTAAGTAAGTTTCGACCCGTCAACCGTCAAAATAAATTTCAAGTTTACATTATTATTAATATCAATAATAAATTAATTTTAGTAAATTTTTCATCGGAATGTAAATATGGTGACTGCAATTATTAAATGTTTTATTTTATTTTTATGTATATTTAAACAAGTAAGGCTATTTAATTATGCAATCTGTAATTTGTTTATTGAGATCAAACAACGCTATATCAATCCAAGTAATGTCATCAAAAAGACTTCTATTAAACCTTATTCGATCTTACGGCCATTGTAACCTATTTACACCATAACAACATTGCTGAGGCCCGTTGACCTATTGCCGAATTATATACTGGAGCTGAAAGTTGGTTTAGAGTAAGAGTTATTTTAAGTAGGCCCGGTTGAGGCGTCCATGTGCTTGTTTCTGCTGCAAAGTGTGTTCTAGTTTTGAGGGTGGGGGACAGCTGTTAAATAATACAGTTGAGACTACGGCGTCATGTTTCAAGGTGAGTGGCGGCATTCACGTTGCGTTATTCAT